AGCAGTGTCATACACCTTCCCCTACATTCCTCTAGGCATTTCACAGCTCCAGATCAGTCTTTCATTTACTTAACTTTAGATTTTCATCTATTTTGAGTAAGAGATCCATCAAATTTTATTCTTTGGCATGTGAAAATCCAGTTACGACATAATAAAATCTAACTCCTTGCCATACAACACCCTTTTATGTTTTAATATTGTTTGCATGAAGTGTTCTCAGAGACCAGTGGAGGAATATTATGCTGGAGCTGGTAGTGTGGCACAGCAGGTTAAGCCGCCGCCTGCAAAGCCAGCATTCCATTTCACAGGACAGGTTTGGATCTGGCTATTTTGATTCCAATCCAGCTTCCTGCTGATGCACCTGGAAGGCAGCAGAAGACGGCCTGAGTGCTTAGGCACCTGCCACCCATGTGAGAGACCCGGATGGAATTCCTGGCTTCTGGCTTCAGCTTGGCCCAGGCTAGGCTGTTGTGGCCATTTGAGGAGTAAACCTGCAGATGGAAGATTTCTCTCTCTCTCTCTCTCTCTTTCATTCTGCCTTCAAATAAATAAAATTAAAAAGAAATCTTATACCATGCACCAGTTTACATACAAAATGGAGAGCAGTAATACCTCTAGGAGCAAGAGTTCTGTGTGAGAAACTCGGGGAAGGTACCTGACAGAAGTGTAAGGCTGCCGGTGCCGTGGCTCACTAGGCTAATCCTCCGCTTTGTGGCGCTGGCACACCGGGTTCTAGTCCCAGTTGGGGCACCGGATTCTGTCCCGGTTGCCCCTCTTCCAGGCCAGCTCTCTGCTGTGGCCAGGGAGTGCAGTGGAGGATGGCCCAAGTCCTTGGGCCCTGCACCCCATGGGAGACCAGGAAAAGCACCTGGCTCCTGGCTTCGAATCAGCGTGGTGTGCCGGCCACAGCACGCCGGCTGCGGCGGCCATTGGAGGGTGAACCAACGGCAAAGGAAGGCCTTTCTCTCTGTCTCTCTCTCTCACTGTCCACTCTGCCTGTCCAAAAAAAAAAAAAAAAGTGTAATGCCCACATTAACATTGGGGCATTGGGGAGGTAGACGTGAACCAGCCCTGAAAATAGACCCCAGGCCCCGTCTCCAAAGCACAACGGCCCCTAAGACTTGGGATGCCCTGCTCCTGATGTCCTGCGGTAAGGAAAACAGGTCACCCCTCCTTCTGTCCTGTTGGAGCTTTAAATGCCTGAGCAGAGGCAGAGCTGAGGCTCCCTTCTGTTGTGTGGCTCGGAGTTGAGAATTCTAGTAGTCTCCCCAGACCCAGTGTGCTGGGCTATCAATCCAGAGACTGAGTGAAAAAGAACAAGCAACTGGAGAGAAAGGTAGAGGAATTGGGACACAGGTCTACACCTGTTTACAAGGAAATGAGAGCGAGCGAAATCTGATGCAGCCTCGAGCAGCTGTTAAGGCCCTATCTTTTCACCCTGAGTGAGTTGAAGCGATTTTTCTGCCATTCTAAGCTGTGAAAGAACATTTTGTGTATCTTGGCTTCTTTTCCCCCCTCTTACTCATTCTCTGCAACAGGTCACTAAGCATCTGAGACTTGATCTTCAGTCAGAAAGATAGGTCCATGGGGTCCCTCATTCTGCCTTCTATCTTCTTGAGGTCCTTGTTCTGTTCCTGGCAGTGGGTTTGTTCATCCAGAAATGTTAAAATAGTGATGCATGTGATCCGGTCATTTTTTTTTCAAGATGTATTTATTTATTTGAAAGGCAGAGTTACAGAGAGGCAGAGGCAGAGGCAGGGGCAGGGGCAGAGGCAGAAAGAGAGAGAGAGAGAGAGAGAGAGAGAGAGAGAGATTTTCCATCCGCTGGTTCACTTCCCAATGGCTGCAACAGCTGGAGCTGAACCGATCTGAAGCCAGGAGCCAGGAGCTTCTTCCAGGTCTTCCACATGGGTGCAATCCTTGGGCCACCTTCTTCTGCTTTCCCAGGCCATAGCAGAGAGCTGGATCGGAAGTGGAGCGCTGGAACTCGAACTGGTGTCCATAATGGATGCTGGCACTGCTGGCAGCGGTTTCACCCACTATGCCACAGCACTGGCCCTGTGATCTGGTCTTACCACTAACCATAGAGGCAGTCAACCACCTGTCCACTCTGATGAGGAGAGCATACATTTGTGTGGTGTGTTGCTGATTTGTATACTCAGAAATAACAAGCCTTTCTGTATATTTGTATAACAAGCCAAAGAGAAAACAAATTTTAAGTGAGAAGAATATATATGAAAATGTCTAAATAAAGAGGATGGACAATGGGAAATTCACTGTTAAGTGAATGAAAGTTAAGTTTCTGGCTCCTTTTCCCATGTAGACCCTTTACAAGACCTTAGGAGAGGCCGGTGCTGCAGCTCACTAGGCTAATCCTCCGCCTGCGGTGCTGGCACTCCGGGTTCTAGTCTCGGTTGGGGTGCTGGATTCTGTCCTGGTTGCTCCTTTTCCAGTCCAGCTCTCTGCTGTGACCCAGGAGTGCAGTGGAGGCTGGCCCAGGTCCTTGGGCCCTGCACCCGCATGGGAGACCAGGAGGAAGCACATGGCTCCTGGCTTCAGATCGGTGCAGCGCACAGGCCGTAGCGGCCACTTGGGGGGTGAACCAACAGAAAAAAGGAAGACCTTTCTCTCTCTCTCTCGCTCTCACTGCTCTCACTGTCTAATTCTGCCGGTCCAAAAAAAAAAAAAAAAAAAAAAAAAAAAAAAAAAAAAAAAAAAAGACCTTTTAAGAAAGCTTAGCACTGTATTCATGTGCTTGGCAAAAGGGATACAGAACCTGCACACTGACTTCAAAGAGAGGCAGACTAATCACTGTCTTAGCTATTCTGAAGGTTCTTGGAAGAGCCTCTTGAACCAACGGCAAAGGAAGACCTTTCTCTCTGTCTCTCTCTCTCACTGTCCACTCTGCCTGTCAAAAAAAAAAAAAAAAAAAAAAAAAAAAAGAAACTAGTCAGCCACCGTGTAAGACTGGGCAAGCCACTTTCCTATGGTTCACTATGTTCATCTATAAACCAGGTTAATAATTGTTGACTAATGTTCACTGAGAGTGCTTTTGCTTAACAGACTGTCATGAGCCCTAGGTATGAATTGTTTCATTTGATTCACCAACTATCCTATGAGGTAGGAGCTTTCATTATTACCAGTTTACATAGGAGATGACAAGCTAATGATTTTAAGTGATTTTTTGCCAAAAGTCATGGCTCCTGGAAAAGCTGGCAATCAAATCCGACATAGCAGCTTGAATCAAGAACCCAATCTTTGAACCTGCCAGGGGGCTTGGTAGCTGCTATTTTCAACAGGGTTGATACTCAGATTCAGATCGATTTAACACAGGTATCTATCGAGTGCCTATTCTGTGAGGTCCTTCTTGTGAAAATCAGGCATCTGTGAAATAATTCACAGGGAAAGCCTTGGAGGAAGCTCAGGGTTTCAAAGCAAACGCATAAGCAAAAAAACGCTGAGTTTCCAACTTATCAAATCGACACAGGATGATGAGGAAATTGTAATAGGCAACCTAAACTTTAAAAAAAAACACATATAATTAAAGCTATTAAATTTACACACACACACACACACACACACACACAAACTATGAGATAGCATGAAGTGTTTACTAGGGTTAAGACAACCTGGAGACCCAATTCTGACTTTGGGGTCAATGTGTTGATGACAGGATGTCCCACACCCCAAAGCATTCTACATGTGTCAAAGTCTGCTTCCTGTTGATCAGCCTTTCCCGTCCACGGGCCCATCCGAGCATACGCTGTATTTGGTTATTTGTATGTATCCTGTGCACCCAGCACATCGGTTTTCCTTAAAACGCATTTGTTGCTCTGCTTTATGAAACAGCCAGATAGAGGATGGTACAGAGTAGTGAAAGTATACGGTGTTCCCTTGCTACAGGCGTCAAACTTCTTGCCAGGTTATTGGGAAACTGAAATCATTAAATAATAACTGAGGGTGACAGTAAGAAATGGATTCTTACTAGCTGCCAGTTCATTAAGATCTTACAGTGATGGCGACCAGGCATGTGTTTGAGTCTGAACAGGTGCCTCTCAGAACTGAAGACCAGAAAGCAGCCCACTGAGGAGGCAGGGCTTCAACTCCCACACTGGGTATTCTGAGGCCATCTGCATTTTCTCCTTTCTGCTTTCCTTTCACCTTCCTATTTCAAAACCCTCTTTCTACCTATCCCCAGTCATCCCACACATGCATTCCAGAATGTTCTTAGGCACAGATTGATCTCTTCAAATCTTCTTCACTAAAAACCTTCCATGGCTGTCTACCACTTAGCAGGTAAAACCCTGACCTTGGCTTTCATAACTCTCCACCTAGAGTGAACTTTTATTTTCTTTTTGTTCCAGGTCAACCCCAACCATAATTAACAAAGGTGCAAATAGCTCCCACACAAATCCTGAACTTCTGCTCCTGGTCCTTTGCTGTCTGAGACTGACTCTTTGGACTCTCATCAAACATACATTTCCTGAAAGCTTCACTGGAACTCCTCTCTTCTCTATGTACCCCTTCCTACCTTGGATTTGCCATGTTGCCTTCTCAATCTCAGTTACTTCGCACCACAGTCATGCCTTAGTTCCCCCATTAAATAAAGTTTTGGGTGGCAGAAACACATTTTAAACTTTGTAGTACATTCACATACTGCTCCCCAAGAGGTGCCTAACCCAGTTCCTTATACGGAAGAAAATATTTGCAGCAGCTAAGGATACGTATTTTGTTCTCTGTAAACACTTGTAGTTAACAAAATTTCTGCATATTTATAACAGGGTTTCCCCAAAAGTCCCCTCATCGAATAGTACTTTAAGTCTCCTTTCATACATCATAAACAATGCTTCAATTCCAAAGCTATTGATCAAGGTGAAATTTTTGACTACTCCAAAATCTAGTTAAATGTTTAATCAAATAAAATTTTAAAGTGTGTGAACAGTTCTAAGTACCTAGGTAAAAACATAATATAAAAACCAACTTTAGTAAAACCAGAGACATAGTCTAGAAAGGGGTAGATTTTATTTATCAAGGTAGTGATTAAAAACATTTATAAAGAGCAACTCAGAAAAAAATATATTCAATATATGAGAAAGGGTTATAGAAACCCTGCATTCCATTTCTAGATCACAGGCTTCTCAAAGTGAAAAATAACAAATATTCAACATTCCTAGTCATCTCAGCCCTTGATGTTCAGGCAGGCTAGGAGTGGAGACTGTCATAAATCACAGGTTTGGGGTAGTGTCCCAGTTGCTCATCTTACCATGACCTATATCCAGAGGAGTGATCCACAGAAACCTTCTGCCCCTGTACTTGTGCTACAAGCAAAACAGACAGGAGCGTATTCTCTCTCCAGTTCCCTCTCCATATCCTTGGCTCTACCGTCAGGAAAAGCCTCAATGGCTCCTAGAATCAGGATTCAGTCAACCAGCAGGATGCAGACAAATCAAGACAATCGGGATCCAAGCAAGGACTTTGGTTTGACAGGGCACCTTCACTGGTTGCCTCTCAGGCGCCAGGAAATCAAGGTAGTATGCTTTGTGACATTCTCATCAGGGTAGCTCTTCCATTTCCCCTGAGGACTCTGCTGTAGTCAGTCAACACTGATGCCAGCGCAGTCAGGTTCCTCTTGTAAGAGCCCACTCCTTCAATCGAATCCATCATCCGCTTAGCACGGGGCAGCCCACGAGGAACCACTCGGCACTGACTGCAGCCGCTCAGGGAACTCCATGCCTGGGCGTCGTGTGGGGCTGCTACTCCTGGAGCAGGCTTCGGGAGACCAGCATCCTCATCACTTCATTGCTGCCTGCAGGGGAAGAAGGAAGAATTAGACAGCCTGCCAATGCTTCGACCTGATGGCTAAGTCTATCTAGTTCAGGGTGATTGTGGATGTAAACCAGAATTGTTTTAATCCCTGGGGGGAAGGGGGGCGGCGCCGTGGCTCAATAGGCTAATCCTCCACCTTTCAGCGCTGGCACACCGGGTTCTAGTCCTGGTCGGGGCGCCGGATTCTGTCCCGGTTGCCCCTCATCCAGTCCAGCTCTCTGCTGTGGCCAGGGAGTGCAGTGGAGGATGGCCCAAGTACTTGGGCCCTGCACCCCATGGGAGACCAGGAGAAGCACCTGGCTCCTGGCTTCGGATCAGCGCGGTGCGCCGGCCACAGTGGCCATTGGAGGGTGAACCAACAGCAAAAGGAAGACCTCTCTCTCTCTCTCACTGTCCACTCTGCCTGTCCAAAAAGAAAAAAAAAAAAAATCCCTGGGGGGAATGGGATTATCACAGATTTCTCTCCAAAATACAGACAAAAAATAAGGAAAAGCCTCAAGGGAGGTACCCAGGCAAGGAGGCTTCCAAGTCACACATCCACATGTGCAGCAAGGTAGAATGAGCAAATGGGAGACGACTCCAAATCTATGACTTATGACAGATCTCCATTTCTGGACTACCTGAGCATTAAGGGCTGAGATTATTTGGAAATTTGAATATCTGTGTTTTTAGTTTTTAGAAGCCTATTGGAAAAGAGGAATGATATTTTAAAAAAGTTAAAAAAAACTTTTCTGATGGCAAAATGCTTATGTTAAAAGGCAGGACAGAAAGAGTAAAATTCTATCATTTTACATATACCTACAAAAGCATAGAAAAACTCCAAAAGATATATTTTAAAAGATTAGTTCTGGATGTAGAAACATGAGTGATTAATTTTCTTTTACTTTCTGTGTAATTTTTCAACAATGAATACACAGTTCTTTGGTCGTTGAAAGAATAAAAACATTTTCCCTTAAATGAGGGGATCAATTATTTGCTTCATGTTTAATAGTGACTTTTACTGCAAATGTGGAGTAATCACACAATCTCAAAAAACCAACTTTAAAAAATCAGATTATTCCAACAGTGAAGTCCATGATGAAATAAAATGACAAAGTGGCCAGTCCCATATTTCTCTACAAGTGGATGACAATGTGATTTGAAATAAACATATTTGGCTTTTCTCTCTTAGAATGGCAGGATTAAAAGAGTCAGAATGATGGTGAACCCTAGTCCACTGAATGTAAACTGGTACAGCCACTGTGAAAGGCAGTATGGAGCTATCTCAGAAATCTGAATACAGACCTATCATATGACCCTGCCATCCCACTCCTGGGAATCTACCCAAACCAAAAGAAATCGCATATGAAAGAGTTATCTGTTCCCCCATGTTCACTGCAGCCCAGCTCACAGTAGCTACGATATGGAATCAATCCAGATGCCCATCAATTGTTGATTAGATAAACAAATCATAGTATATATACACTATGGAGTACTACTCAGCTGTAACAGACAAACCAAAAAAAAAAAAAAAAAAAAGAAATCCTGTGTTTTGCAACAAAATGGATGCAACTGGAAACTATTAGACTTAGTGAAGTAAGCCCATCCCCAGATGACAGATACCATATATTTTCCCTGAATTGGGGTAACAGAGTAACTGAAATGTAATGTATTGGAGTGAAATAGACATTGTGAGATTCCATGACTATTACAACCCATTGAGGAACAGTTTTTTTTTTTTTCTCTTCATACTATCTGTTGAAATCTTTTACTTGGTGAAGGGTAAACTATACGATCATTAAATAAACTGAAAATAGGTCTTTGTAAAAATTAAGAGTGGGAATGTGAGAAGGAGGAGGAGGAAAGGTTGATATGTGGGTGGGAGGGAGGGTGGGGGAGGAAGAGTCACTATGTTCCTTATTCTATATATATGAAATACATGAAACTTCTATAACTTAAATAAAATTAAAAAACAAAAAGAATGAAAGTGAAGTCTTCACAAAACCCGAGTGAGAAGATAACTGCAAGAGTAACAGAAGCAGTGAGAGTCGTGGGAGTCTGATCTGAGCACTAGTGACCAAGCTCCCCAGCATACTTCATGGGCCGGGTTTGTGGCACAAAGCAGCAGGCTCACCTTGCAAAGCCCAGGATTTGGACTTCACTCCAGAACAGTGGGTCACAAAGTGTGTTTCCCACAGAGCAGCTCAGCCTCATGGGAACACCTGCTCTGACACACACTGTTGGGCCTCAGCTGGACCCCGTAATCTGTCTTACGAAGCCCTCTGGGAATGACCAGGCGGTCAGGTTTGAGAAGCATTCTTTGGAGCAGGAAGGGAGGCTACTGCTGGCAGGCTTCTCCCCTGGTCCCACGAAAGCAGCCCTGCGTCCCTTCAGTTGATTCAGAACCTCTGCCCGGTTGCTTGTCCCACAGTGGAACCGCCGAGCTATCTCCTCCAGCGGGAGCACTAGCTCTGTCCTCTCAGGATTTAAGCATGCATTGTGGACAGCGGGGAAGGCCACACGCTGAGCCCGATTCCAGGGGCTTACACGCTTCCCAGACAGAACGTCTGATACTACCAAGAAGTTACTCACGGAGGTTAACTTATTTTATTCAAAACTCTACTAGCAATACTGACACAGAGCATCTGATAATCCACTCTGTGGCTGCTCCCTGATGATCAAGTGTTAGGACACCTGCCAGAGAGGTTCTCTGAGCCCCAACAGGTACTCCTCCACACCAAGCCAACAGCTACTGCTGTGTTTCCAACATGCTTTCTCACATATTACCTCCTTAGAGCCTTCTCTCATATCTACAAAGGAAACAGAGCAGAAGAGGGGCGTGGTTCAGTGCCTTACCCATGGCGACATAGCACAGTGTCCTATCTCTCAGGCCAGTGCTCTTTCTAATGCACCCCTAGGTCATTCCACAGCAGGGCTGGAGGAGGAAAGGACGAAGCTGGAAAACACTGCCTGGTGGGGCTCTGATGACCAAGGACAGACATGCTGGGGCAAGGACTGATTTTGTCATCGTTCGGAGAGGAACGATGACCACTTTCACCTTCTAGAATCTGGTGGACCCTGCAGTCACGCACAAACTGCTGGACAGCATAATCCTTCAGGTAGCCATAGCCTCCATGCATCTGTAAAGCCTGGTTGCAGATCTGTAGGGAGACAAAGATTAAGGATCTCTGATTCTGGGAACTGTGGAGCAGGTGGCCTCCCGCTCCTGGAGTTCCCAGTCTGGTAGTGTGCTGTAATCTGATGAGGAGGTACAACCCACTAACAACCAGCCTAGCCCAAAGACCGGCTCCCCACTCCACATGCCACAGACTGCAAGGGACGTTCATTTGTCGAATTTGTCAGCTCCCTGGGGACAGGTAGATCAGACCACTGCCTTTCCCACTCATTACCTGCTGGGGAGGCACAGCCCACAACCCTCCAGCTGGGATTGTAGGACACTCAGGTGCCACCTGGTGGCCAGGCAGCCTCACTGTGGAGGCGGCCTTGTCTCAGATAAGGTAAACACAGAGCAGTGCTAACCTTGGGCAAGAGGCACTGGGCTGCTCTGAGCCTTCCAAAAGGAGTGTCTTATATAGAAACACAGTCAAATCAACAACATGAGGAAGCGTGGAATGGCCCAGATCAGACTAAAAGGCCACTAGCCGAAGTCCTGTGGAAGCCGCTCACAACCTAATCCGTATCCTAAAGCCATCAAGACCCAAGTTTTCAATTCTGCAAATATTTCAATGACATAATACTTATCTCAGACACTGAAAGTGGCAAAATGTATTGCTCCACTTAAGTCTCTATGAATGTTCTATTTCAGGATGATGGGATATTATGGATTTTAAGCCCCAGGCTATCCCCTGGAACATCCCAGGAGGGCTGGGATCCCAAGTTGGCATGTGCCTTTCAACATCCCGGGGACTGGTATCTGCACCCTGATCTTCCCAGGACAGCGAAAGGCCTTATCACTCACAGCAAAGCACTCGTCTGTAGCAAAGAGCTTGGCCATGGAGCACAGGGCCACTGCATCTTCCCGCTCCTCCTGCAGAGCCACTGCCGCACTGCGGATCATCAGCCGCGAGGCCACCAGCCTTGTCGCCATGTCAGCCAGTTTGAACTGTAAGTACTGCAGCAAAGGGAAAGACAACCAGACGTGACGGAGGGACTGTAGGCCGCACCTGATCTAAGGACATGGACGTGGCTTTTCTAAGGGGCCAAAGGCTCTGTCTGCCTCCTCTACTGAGAAACCTGCCTGCCTTCTACATTCCAAGTGAACTTCCCTTGCTCTACATTTTAACATT